ACACTCTACATTTAAGGTTGGACTCTTAACCTTCCTCTATGATAAAGCTTAAATTATTATCATCCGGTGCTACTTTCATTAATAATACATATATAAATATCACTCCTATTATTTCCATCATAAGAAGCAATGTGTCAGAGCCAATGGGAGCATGAGAGAGAAGAGATGGAGCTGTACCACAGGAAATCTAAGCACAAGCGACAAGCGGGGGCTATTTGAGTGTGAGCGCAGAGTTTTAAGGGAAAGAACACGCTCTTGAATAATAGGAGAGAGAAAAAAACAAACTTCAATCATCTCACGACCCCTGAGGTTTATCATATGACCATTGAAGGGGACCGACCTGCAGGTTGGGAACCACTGGAGAGAGAGTAGAGAGAGACAGACAGAGAGAGAGAGAGAGACCATGCTGTCTCTGGGTTTAAGTCAAACACAAGTGTTTCTTTAACAGACAGGACTGACGCTCCTCTGAATCAGTGAGTGAACCTATATTGTGTGTGTGTGTCTGTACTTGATGTTTGTTTCCTCTTCAGGATCTTTCCCAGCAGAATCACGGACCTCGTCAGGACCCGCAGAACTCATGGGACCAAAGCTCAGTCCTGATGAGGCTTAACTTGATTCCTGAGCTCCTGGTTAGTGAGCGGGGTCAGATGTGATTTGTGGTTTGGTTAGAGTAAGCGTTCGGTATGAGTTGGTGATGGTGAAGGTTGTAGAGAGAAGGTTTTCGATCGGCTGTCCACAACGAGTGGACGTCAACGCAAAGTCCTCATTAGGATCTCTGCACAACTGGATTAACACAATGTCTTGGATCAGTGCAGACGTGCTGGGATAAAAAGGTTGACTTTGGAATTAATCCATTTTTAAAATGGATGGTGTCAGTGATTGAAAAAATTAAAAAGAGTTAAGGTCCGATTAGAGCTTTGATAGATGTGTTGATACTGAATATGTGTGTAGAACAGTTTTTAATATGAATGTGTTACACGTGTGTATTCAGAGTTTACAGTGTGATACATGCATGTTTACATGTTTCTAAATATGTTCATGTGTGTTTTTCCCTGTTGCTCTGATCAGACCCTTCCGCTCAGTGTTGGCTGTGATCGAGCGTCATAGGAAATCCATCAGTGTGCGTCAGCTCTGTGGAACCTGGGACACACACACACACACACCTCTCCCCTGCCGTTTTCTCCGTCCTGCCCCACCCTGAGCCGTCATGGATCTGCTGGGGGTGGACGACATGAGCAGCGGCTGTGGAGGTAAAAACTGTGGCCTCCCGTCAGGCTTCCCGGAAGACTGCCCCAACCAAGACTGCCAGTGGGAGGAACCAATATTTGGACTGATTGAGTTAGGTGGGTACAGAACAATGGTGATGATACTGGAGACGACTGAAAAATGATGCGGCCAGCTGCTGTCATTAGTTATAAAAATATTAAAACAACAACTTCAACTTTCATCTGACGGAAAGGACAGAAAATTTAAAACTTCTTCTTTTCTGAGATAACCTTTATTCGTTTTTCGCAGTTTCAGTTAAAATGTTTTAGAGGAAATTCAACATGTTCACTGAAAACAGACGGGAACGACTGGGAAGTTTGATATGTGGGGATTTCTCAAGGTATAAGATAATAA